TTAGATAAATCAGCCAAGTCCGCCTAGGCCCTGCCTAGCCACCTAGGCACTAGGCCCTAGCCCACCGCCCGACTAGCACTTAGCGTCTTTTAGAACCTTGCTAAAAATTCATGGTCATTTGTCCCTTAACTCATCCAAACATACAGCTACAGTCATTTTCGTCAACTCCGTCAAAATTCCATCAAAATGAGTAATGTTGGACTGACTATTACTACAATTGGATTAAAGTTGAGGGACCATTGCTCCAATTGGATTAACGTTGAGGGACTATTTTTCGAACTGGGTTAAAGTTGAAGGACCATTGCAACTGTTTTTCTCATTTGGTTTTCCATATTTGCCTTTTATTCAGCCGCACGTGCGTGCGCACATGACTCATTTTGATGGAAGTTCTAACGGAGTTGACGAAAATGATCATAGATGCATGTTTTGATGAGTTAAGGGACCAATGGCTACAAACAGAAGGACAATCTAAAAATTATAATAATTGTAATCGTTGGATCAAAATCTAACGGCCCGTGTGCTTTGCTCAGAAGGCTCAGCCTCCTAAGCTCAGGAGAGGATCCAAATCCCCATTATAGTTGACTTAAATCTGTCCGACGACTAGTCCACTCGAAACTTGAAACTTCCCGAACCTTCTTTTGGCCCTCCAAATCTTCTGGAACTGGAACCACATCCACAACGTTGTCGCATAATTCTCTCTCTTCGTTTGTGTCGTTGTTCGTTGCAGGTCAAGAGAAGCACAGCAAGCAAGTACGAGACCAAACTCTAATCTTAATTAGTATCTCTTCTCTATCACTTTGTTGGGTTAATTTGGTTAATTGATCACAACAACGAACTTTAAGATTCACTCATCATTCAAAAGTTTTCCATAATTTTTATTTAACTGTACGTTCTTCGAGTCACTGGAAATTAACTGTCTGCCTAATTTTTATGTTTTTAATGTTTATTGTTTCAATTATGAACTTGATCAACTGGGAAAGTACTATCAAGTCTTCACTTTCTATTACTTCAAACATTTTCACTCTCTCGTTTTATCTGTTTGCACTCCTCCCTTACGTTACTGCGCTTTGATAATTGAATGCATAAAAGGAGAATCGAAGCATAAAAAGAAGGGGAGGAGAGTGCGAATGAACAAAAGAAGCGCGAAAATCGTTAATTTTGGAGTTTAATTATGGTATAATAAATTTCAGGGACGCCTTAATATCTTGTTTTGCTTTATAGAACATGGGATTCTTGTTCGTTGTCTTGTCTTGTGTTGTACTTTTACATATGCTTCCGATATGAAGTTTTCAATTTCACGGAATCTGATAAACCGTCTCCAAAATTTTACGATTTGCATGATGATTGTTGATGTGATAGTGCTATACAACTCATTTTTTTTTCTGAACTCTCTCACGTTGAGTGATCATAGAGTGTGTCGATCCGTGTAGGAGAATTGGGAAGAACATCGAGAAAAAAAAACTGGCTTTTCTAACACATCTTCCATGTCATCACTTTGCTCCAGGATTGTCGGTTCCTTAGTATTAACTACTCCATTGTGAAACGATCAGCAAAAAGATAGCAACATGCGTGGAAAACTGAAAGTAACTGCAACCATGATGGGAGGGGCAGTTACATCCTTATAACTAGGGTTTTGATCCCCTTTCTCGGATATATATGGATCTCTTAATGCTAATGTTGGATCTATCGAAAACAAGGAGTTCCAATCCGTTTCCAAGAGAAAGGAAGATCTCAGCCACGTCTCTATCACCATGGCTACATCCTCAAGTAAGTTTAATGCATTCATTGTCTATCGATAGAATGCATTATGCAGAAACTAGGGTTAATAACACTGCATGCATACATTGCAGTACATGGTTCAATTGCATTGTTGGATGTTCAATCTTTATATGACTTAATAAGCACGTACATACAAATATATATATATATATATATATATATATATATATATATATATATATATATATATATACTCATAAGGTCTACATGTGGTATCAGAGCCACCAACATTTGCATTGAACTCGAACCAGGATTCCATATTTGTTTTAATATACTTAAACTATATGATTACGAGACAATTTTCCTTTACTAGATGAATGGATCACCAAAGTGAATTACATTCTTAAAGAATGGTTCTGTTCTATCAGATACTTCATATGAAGAGTGTACTGCCTAATGCATGTTTAGATACAAATCTATGGACAATGTTAGTATCTACTGCAGTCACTACAAGTATAATCAATTATAAAACATGATCGTTAATGTATACAAGTTTGCCCAAAGGAATAACGTTTACATTGATTATTGAGTTTTGTGAATATTTATACAGATTTGAGATTCATATATGTCGATTATAGACAGTTTCTTGCCCAAAGGTGATACTGATTCTATGAGTTTAAGCATGACTTTATGTCATTCAATATGAATTTACAAATCATTATGTACACATTATGCAGATTTCAATATGTTGAGTATGATCAACATTGAGAAATCGAATGGAACAAACTTTAAAGCTTGGAAACAAAACGTTGAAATGCATTTGGAAATGCTTGAGTTCGACATTGCCTTTAAGTTGCCTCAGCCATCCACACTTACCGATGATAGTATTGCACTGCAAAGGGATAGCTTTGCTAAATGGACAAGGGCAAATCAAATGTCCTTGCTCATTATGCAAAATGCTATGGAAGATCACATAAGAGGAGGGATTTCAGTATGTGATTTAGCAAAAGATTTCATGGCCCGGATTGAAGAAAAATACAAAAGATCAGACAAAGCTGAAACTGGTGTATATCTTTCTGAGTTGATCAATACCAGGCATGACGGTGTTGGTAGTGTGAGGGAGCATTTACTTAAACTTGTTAATCTCTCCAACAAGCTTAATGCCATGGATATTGGCATTACTGACCAATTTTTGGTTCATTTGGCATTGTACTCACTGTCAACTGATTATGAACAGATCAAAATTAGCTACAACACTCAGAAGGAATCATGGACAGTTAACAAGTTCATTGCCATTTGCTGTCAAGAAGAAGAAAGACTGAAGAAGATCAAAAATGAAGCAGTCAATCTCGTTCATTTGAAGGGTAAAGGAAAGATGGTCTCAAACTACAAGAACGACTACAAGAATCCCAATTACAAAGGGACCAAACCGACTACACAGAAACCAGGTTCTATCTTTCCTAAGAAACCCTTCAAAACTTCCAGTGTTTCTGTCAAAAATGACGGTCTTTCCCATGCTGGTCTCAAACCTCATAAATTTCATTTCAAGAAATGCCATCACTGTCATTCCACTGAACACTTAAGGAAGGATTGTCCTGCATTTAAAGAATGGCTCATAAGGAAAGGTAACAAAGTTATTGATGTTTTTGTTACTGTTGAGTCGAATATGGTGTTTATTCCTTCGAATTCTTGGTGGTTTGACACTGGCTGTTCTGTTCATATTACAAACTCTTTGCAGGGATTTCAAAACCTGAGGGAGACAAATAGGAACATCTACAATGTTTATGTTGGAAATGGGAGTAAAGTGGTTGTTGAATCTGTTGGCACAGTCATGTTAAAGTTGTCTACTGGTTATGTTTTGGTTTTAAATAATGTATTATATGTACCTTCGATGAGAAGGAATCTATTTACAGCAACTCAATTTGTAAAAGATGGTTTTTTTTTATATTGGAGACAAGGACCAAATTCAATTTTTCATTCACAATCAGTATGACAACTTACTTGGTTATGCTCTTCTTAATGGTGAATTGTGGCAAATTCAGTGCACTTATTTTCAAGAATGTTTTAATGTAGAGCATACTGCTTCAAAGAGAATGCATGTTGATGATAGTTCTTCAGTGCTTTGGCACAGAAGACTCGGGCATATCTTTGAAGATCGTATGCTCAAATTATTGAGAGATTGAGTGTTGCCACGATTAGAACTTAATGACATAGAGAATTGCATTGACTGTTTCAAGGGGAAAACAACCAATTTAGTAAATAAAACAAGTGCCAAACGCAGTGATGATTTGTTACAAATCATACACACTAATGTATGTGGACCATTTCCCACAAGAACATTATGTGGAAATTCCTATTTTGTTCTCTTTATTGATGATTTTTCTAGGTACACTTACTTGTTTTTAATCTCAGAAAAATCTCAAGTTCTAAATTGTTTTAAAATATTTAAACTTGAAGTTGAAAAACAATTGAATAAGCATGTTAAAATAGTGAGATCAGATAGGGGAGGTGAATATTTTGGGAGATACACTGAACGTGGACAACAAAAGGGTCCATTTGCCTTGTACCTTGAACAAGAAGGTATTATTGCTCAATACACCACTCATGGTACTCCTTCACAGAATGGTGTTGCAAAGAGACGAAATCAAACACTTAAAGATATGGTGAGAAGCATGTTATCACAGTCTCAACTACCTGAGTTCTTATGGGGAGAAGCACTTAAAACAGCTAACTATATACTCAATCGAGTTCCTTCCAAAGCAGTTCCAAGCACTCCTTTTGAGTTATGGACGGGTCGAAAACCTAGCTTCAACCACTTTCACACATGGGGCTGTAAATGTGAAGCCAGGTTATATAATCCCACTGCGAGAAAATGAGACATGAAAACCACTAGCTGCTACTTTGTTGGTTATGCAGAAAAATCCAAAGGGTTTAGGTTTTATTGTCCTACTGCACGTACAAGAATAACTGAAAGTCATAATGCCAAGTTTATTGAAGACTTTGATTTGTCACATGAACCCCCCAAACAGTTATATGCCTTAGAAGAGCATGACGACCATTCCTCTTTGTCTCAAGATTCTGGAATGGATAATAGTGTTACCATTCCCTTGTATCTATCTGGTGGTACACCATTGTCTTCATATGTGACTGCACTTGATATCCCTACACCTAGTGCAGTAACTACAACATCTCCCAATCCAGATACATTGGTCTTACATGATCCTATTCACTCATCTGCAGCAATAACTGAAGCACCAGAATCGTCTTCACAGTCTCAGGCACCCTTACTGAGGAAATCGATGAGAACCAAAAAGTCGGCTATTCCACATGATTATTTGTGTTATCTACAAGAAGTTGAATATAATATTGGTGATGAAGATGATCCCATGAATTACAAACAGGTAATGAAGAGTTCTAAAAGTGAATTATGGAAGGCTGTAATGACAGAAAAACTTGCTTCCTTGGAAAGTAATCATGTTTGGACCTTGGTTGATGGTTCAGACACCAAAAGAGCAATAGGGTGCAAATGGGTTTTTAAAACCAAGAGGGATGCTCATAGGAGGATTGAAAGGCTTAAAGCACGCTTTGTAGCTAAAAGGTTTACACAAAAAGAAGGCTTAGATTACACAGAAACGTTTTCTCCAGTCTCTACCAAAGACTATTTCCGAATTATCATGGCTCTCACAGCTCATTTTGACTTGGAACTTCACCAAATGGATGTCAAAACAGCTTTTCTTAATGGGAATCTTGATGAGGACATTTATATGGTACAAGCTCCCGGATTTGTTGAAAGGGGGCAAGAACATTTGGTGTGCAAGCTAAATAAGTCTATCTATGGTTTAAAACAGGCTTCGTGGCAGTGGTATAAACGTTTTGATCAAGTTGTACAGTCCTTTGGTTTTGTGGAGAACAAAATTGATAATTGTATCTACATGCGGCAACACAAATCTCAATTCATTTTTATGGTTTTATATGTGGATGATATATTGTTGGCAAGCTCTCATGTCCAATTAATGACTGAAACTAAGAGAATGTTGTGCAATAGTTTTGATATGAAAGATTTGGGAGAGGCTCATTATGTTTTGGGCATTGAGATTGTGAGAAACAGGCAGAATGGAACTTTGGGGCTCTTAGAGAAGAACTACATTGACAGAGTGTTAAAGAGATTTAATATGGAAGCTTGCAATGCAGGTGATGTCCCTATTGGTAAAGGGGATAAGTTCTCTCTCTCACAGTGTCCTCTAACTGAATATGATCATCGAGTTATGAGATATAAACCGTATGCATCTCTAGTTGGCAGTGTCATGTATGCACAAGTTTTCACCAGACCTGATTTAGCTTTTGCATTAAGTGTACTAGGCAGGTTTCAATCAAATCCAGGTATTGCACACTGGAATGCAGGCAAAAAGGTATTGAGGTATTTGAAAAAGACACGAGATTATGTACTAAGTTATCATCGAGTTCAAAACTTGAATGTTGTCTGTTATAGTGATGCTGATTTGGGAGGATGCATTGATGATAGAATGTCCACAAGTGGATATATTTTCATAATGGCTGGAGGTGCAGTGTCATGGAGAAGTAGGAAGCAAACCACAAGGGCTGTTTTTACAATGGAGTTAGAATATATAGGATGTTTTGAAGCAATGAGACATGGCATATGGCTGAGAAATTTGATCTGTGACATGAAGATAGTTAAAAGCATTGAAGAACCAATCAAGATTTATTGTGACAATACTTCAACTGTGTTCTTTGCCAAAAACAACAGAAGGTCCGAAGCTTCAAGGCTTATAGATATCAAATACTTGAAGCTCCAAGATGAAATAAGAAATGGAACTATTGATTTGAACATATTGGCACGTTTAATATGGTTGCAGATCCATTAACCAAGGCATTACATGTGACAGCATTTCAAAGGCATCTACCGAATGTGGGACTGCATACATCTATCGATAATGTTTGAATGTGGGAGTAAGGTAATTCTCCGTACCTTTAAGTCTATATGTTTGATTAGAATGTGTATGATGAATACAAATCATATTACATGACGATGCAATGCATTTGTGAAAGTTCGATACTAATCAAACATATAATGATGTTTATAATCTTGCAGCAATAAAGAAAGAATGGCAGCTGCAGTGCCATTTCTTATACGACAAGCAATGTGGGAGTAATGCTTGTAATGAAGAGTTCTCTTGTCAGAAGTTTATTCTCACGCACGATCTCATTAGAATGCGATCAGTTTGTGATTTTAGTACAAATGGTACATCAAATTTTATTATACTGACTAAAGTTCAACTGTTGCTTCTTTGAGTATGTTTGAAAGATTTATTTCAACTTTATCTCAATGATGACTTGCTAGTTATTTCATTTAGATGTTTTGATCATTCTCATGTGGGAGAATGTTAGAACTCGTTTGTGAGAAGTGAATCAAACACCTAATGAAGACATGAAATAACATTACTTTAAAGAGATATAATATAAAGAAGATTATACATGTTGATCAATGTCTAATATAAGGTGAGAAAACTATAAGTATTGTACAAATTAATATAGAGAACGGTTATAAGGAAGTGGAAAACTGAAAGTAACTGTTGGAAATGTGCCCTAAAGCCAATCATATGATGATACTTTACGGACATTTTACATGTTAAACTAATAAATCAAGGGCAAAGATTATTGTTTGAGCCGTCTCATATAAATGTTATATGCCTAAACGATAAAGTCCAAGGAATATGTGATTGGAAGAATGTAATCTAATGAAGTTAGATTCATGAGACCATTCTTTCGTAGACACATCCTAAATGTTCCTGATCATAGGATTGCCAATTGGGCATTGACAGTCCGTCAAGATCGGTACGTGCTATGTCTTCTCTCAGGGAAAGTGACTAGTTCGAGTCATTGGTGTGTGTGTGCATGCAAGATAATGTCAAGTACAAGAACGAGACCATTCGTAGTCACATCCTAAATGTGATCATAGGATTGCCAATTGAGGCATTGACATTTCAAGATCGGAACATGCAGCTCTCAGGAAAGTTAGTCTCGAACATTTGTGATGACATCACCAAGTACGTAGTGCTCAGTAGAGAATGAGTTCACTGAATGATCATAAGAGTTCTCATACTCATGTCACATGAGAACTCATGTTTGGGATAATGCAAATTAGTCCTCCTGAGGCATCACAATTGTCTTGTGGTTAAGTCCTTGATCTTTGATTATGTCAAAGTCACCCCATCGGGGTTTGGCATCGTAACTTCCCTTTGGAGGCAAGTGAATGCGCAACAAGGGATCTCTAACCTTCAACCGTTTGAGGGAGAATACTCTATGATATGATTTAGAATCTCTGGCCAGAGTATGAATGAGATTTAGAAAAGTCGTTCTAAATCACATTCAATGAAATCATATAAGCACACGAATCACATTGGATAGTAGACATGAATAAATAAACTATCAAACCAACAAATGTGGTCAGGAGTAGATTAGAGAAAGACCGTATTGCATTTGTAATCCCAAACTGAATAGGTTTTCTCTACCTCTTCTGATTAGCTGATATGCTGCAAGGTGTCACTCATGGTTTGTGGAAGCCCTAAACGTGTGTAATCACTAAAGGGAGAATTGAAAGTAAGTTTCAATTCACAATCGATTTGAAATGGTTTTAATCGCCCACTGCCTCGCTAAAAGAAACCTAATGGATCGCACACCATAAGAGGTGGAGATTGGAGATTAAACGGAGATGAGTAAGAATGATTAAATGGTTTAATCATTTATTTATGGCAAGGATTAATTAATATGTTAATTAATCAAACGAATAAGTTCGTTAAAGACCTCGGGATAGGTTTTGGACCTTAAGGCCCAATGGGCTTCGAACGTCAAGCTCATTGACTTAAGTTGTATGACAACTTAATGAATAATGATTCACTAAGACCCAAAAGCCCAAAACAACACCCCATGGCCGGCCATTTAGAGGAAGGGTAGTGAACTTGC